TCTACGAGGATTCAAAGAACTTGCCCTTTGAATATCACCCTTTGTAGATGCAATCATAACCCCTTTAGAATGATAACCAGTTCTGAGGAGCCCCCAGAAGTTTAGGGACATGACGGGACCTTCCAAACACATGCGCACCTCCACTCCCACAGGGAGAGACAAAGAAACCAGAGGCAAACAGGTTTGCCAAGGTGTCACGGGACTCCTGAGGCCCGGCTCCCAGGCATCAGAACCGCGGCCGGCCGTGGGCCCCTGCGCGCACTCTCTCCCTGGCCCTATGTGACTCACCTGGGATGTGCTTGGCCCAGCCGATGATGACCACGAGCTCTTGGTCGGCCAGGTCACAGAGAGTGGTCAGGGCCTTGATGTCGCCCTCAGGCATGCCGGGGGGAGGCCTGGCATAGAGCTTGTTTGGCTCCGCCACCAGCAGGTAGGAGACGATCTTGGTCACTGCAGAGACCAAAGGAGGAAAGTAAATGGCTGGAGCGAGGAACGGGGCCGGGGTGGAGGCCGGGAGGGGTCGGGAAGGCAAGTCAGGTATGAGGAGCCTGGGAAGGTCAAACATGGCTGTAATCGTCCCTCCCTTCCTGACTCCACAGGGCTGCTGGCCGTGGCGACTCAGGCTGCTGAGAAAGAGCCTCCAAGGGAAGTTGCCTGGTGAATTCTCCCAAGAAGAGCCCGCTGTGTGTGGGCGGCTAGAGGGGCATGTTCTGGATGCTGGAGCCCAGGCCTCTCAGGACCACGCTGCATTTGGAGCCACATTCTGGGGCACCCCATGGGGAAAGGCCTTCTGAATACAGTCTCATTCTGAAGCACCTGGCACCACTGCCAGGCACTGATGCCTCCTCCCCCCAATCCACGGTGTCCCATAACCCAGCACTGGGAAGATGGCATGTCCCCAAGGGATGTCAGATGTGCCAGTACAGATGCCGGCAGAAGGGGCATGAGCTGCCCTGGCACTCACATGGCTTTTTAGCAGGTGGGGAAATCTGTAAGCTCAGGTACGGGCTGTTCTCCGCGTCCAGCCGTCGCTTGTATTTCTGGCGGCCTCCACGCACTCGGTCAAGACGCACACCTGTTGGGAGGAAGGGCAGGAAGGCTCAGGAGTTGTTCGGCATCAGCAGGACTGTCAGCGCAGACTGGGATTCCAGCCCTGGCTGAGTCCTTCAGGGCCACACCCAGATGGCCTCTGACAGCTGCTGATGGCCAGCCTCAGGCCAGGTGGCTGGACAATCCCGAAACAATTTTCTACAGTAATGGCCCATTCCAGTTGCCCGGGCCCGGTCCTGCCTCTACAGATTCAGCATCCTCTTGAAATCCATCCCAAGCAACCTGCAGCTCCTGAGTGTTTGTTTCTGAAAGGGAACGAGCAACAGCACTCCTCCTCGTGCTGGGAAAGACGACGGGCCATTTCAGGCCTGCTGTGAATCCGGGGAGGGGTGAGTCAGCTTGCCAAGCAAGGGAAGGGGTACCTGCCACTGGCAAGTACCTCAGAAGAGTTAAAACAAGGGTTTTCAAACTTTTCACCTAAGCAGCATTGGGGTGGACCCTCCTTGCTGATGTCAATTTCCAGATCCCATCCTTAGTGATTCTAGGCCAGAGGTCTCTGCAGGACGCGGACGCAGGTGGCCCCGGCCACATCTGGGAAATCCATGCCTAGAGATAGCTCAGCAGCAGGTGCAGAAGCAGCGTGGCCGCTCACACTGACACGCATTTCGAGGAGTGAGGCCCCATCCCGGGGAGATCCGTATTGCCACTGGGTCCCTGGTTTTCAGAAGAAACCCGCCCCTCCCCCTGCTCCTGCTGTCTAGACAGACACGTTGTACCATCTGACACTCTCACCAGCAAGCAGAGTGGGCAGACCTGGCGAGGGCACCTCATCCCAGGGCACACAGCTCTGACTGGCCACCCCCCTGTGTGGCCTGACCTGAAAGGATGGGTGGGACCCACCACGTCAGCTCCAAAGTGGAAGCGAACACAGAAAACAGAAGGGCGGGCCTTTCCTTACCATGAAATGGGCCTTGACTAAAACACGTGAGAAGTCGGGGGCCAGAGTCCTGAGAGGAAGAGAGCTCAGCGGCCGCCCCCCTCTGATTTGACCCCCTAAGTTCAACTTTCCGTTCTTTCCCCAAAGGTCAAGCTCCACCCTCCCAGAGCCCCAGTCAGTCCAGATCTTCAGAGCCCTGTCCTCCCCCAGCACGTCCTCCACGGGTCCTGGCTCCTTCCATCCTCCCAGCTTGCAGTACC